CGACACACATAAATAAAATTATATAAACAATTAAAATCGTTAATGCATTTAGTAAATATTGATTTTTAATTAATTGCATTTGAATTGTTATTTTATTGAAAATTGTTGATTAAATAGAAATTATCTTCTGAAAGGCTACAAATACTGTCTTTAATAAATAAGAAATTTCTTTAAAACTTCACCGACTCATTGATCATTGCCTGCAGACCTTATTCCCAGATTTTTGTTAAACTCACATTTTCAAATAAATAAAATATTAATGTCTCAATATTATTAAATACTATTTGTAATTAACACCCAAACATGTCTGGTAAATTCATTAAAATCTTAAGAGTTTAGTATTTTAGTTGATTAAACAGTGAAATAAATGACAAGAAATACGTTTTATAAAGGAGTTTATATACATAGTTTTCAAAGTTATTAGACACAGTTAAAGTGCTTTAAGATATCATATAATTGTTGTATAAAAGCACTTTTTTCGCTACGATATGTTGTAATTGCAGTTGTAATAAAAAAACATTTTTTTGTAAACTATGTTAGAGAAAAGATACAAATGCCATTAAATATATATATATACAAAACCATATAAATATATATGAAAAGACATCAGGGACAGAGTCCTAAAATTATTCACAAAAATTGATACGCTGCCCAACTTTGCCATAACAAATCCCAAGTCCACCTCAGGAACAACAGGAAGATATGCTGACTTACGGTCCGTCATCAATTAAAAGATTAATAAACGATATGAATTCCTGCATAGTTAAAGCTAGTGTGGGGAAGGGATCAGTCCCCCAGCCACAAAAGAGTAAAAGTGCGCAAAAGTATTAACTCAAGAAACTACAACAACAACTTATGTGTGTATATATAATATATATAAGAGTATACACCTGTATTTTGTGATAGTTTTAATAGATCCATTAAATAAATTCTCTTGTCTATGCACAAGTTTTCAACATTACGAAGGTGACCACCTTGCTCAGTAAAGATTAACCAAGATTAGATCTTGACTAACTGATTACACAAAATCTGTAATTTATTTTTTTCCTAGTAATGTTTGCAATTTTGGTAACAGGGTCTTTTATCATCTGGGCGTATGACAATCCCAATCAATCCCAATGGATTGATTCAAAGTGAGTTATTGAATTATACACACATTTGTTAATATCTATATCTGCACAAATTTGAACAGTAACATAACAGATGGTATGTTACTAATCCCAACTAGACACCGGAAGTAACGAATATGATCTACAAAAGTTTTGATAGAATATACTCAGCGCCATGGCTCCCGGTACTTTTGTTAAGTGTTCTATCAAAAAAAATATAATTTTATTCCTGTACATTAAATCAGAGTTTCTTAAATAGGTCAATCTTCATTTGTAACTGATAAGAATAGGGATTAATACGAAATAGTTGTATCGAATCTCATCAGCTAATCAAAGTTTTCATTTTCTGCTTTATTTCCATGATTGGAAACCAAAAATAAAATTATCTTGGAACTGTTATCTATTAGGTTAATAGTTAATTTATCTCTGTGAACTGGCTTATATGATATAAAGGCACCTGACAGAACTTTGATAGCTAACTGATTATCTGTGAGAATATGGACTTTATATTCCTGGAAGTTTAAGCGGGCCCTTAGGTGACGAATACTGCACTTCTAATATTTACGTTGTGAGAGTGATAGGATTTACACATTTATAGGTGCATAGAGTAAATTTTGGCTCCTGTGGTGCTATCGCTGACATTCCTTGCTTTATACTTATAATCAACAACCCTCCTTTTTTATTCTCTTATATGAGAATGTTTGTGACAAATTTAAGCGAAATGATTGCAATCTGATTTATATCAACCAATGCTGCGAAGAGTTGATAGAATTTTACTGTGTCTTAGTGAGATTGAATGACAGGTGCTCAAAATCTTAAGTCTCTATGCACTGATGGTGGCTGTTTGTTCGATAAAATATTCAGTTGGTAGTAAAGGTATTCGAGGTAATTCGAGTGCAATTATGCGAACATAAAGATTCATTGTGATATCACTGATAAGACACTGTCTGTACGTCAGACCTGAAATATCGTCATAAAGGTAAAAGTGGTAATGTTAATTTTGCTTGTAGGGCACGATTAAATTGCACCTGTAGCTGCCACCCAGAAGCTATCTTAACAGTCTATCTAGCTTTTGAAAAATATTCTGTTTTCAGTGAAGGTTCTAATACTATAGAACCAATTATTTAATTACTTAAATAATTTCTTCGTGGGATTTTCTTTTTTGGCAGCAATTTTCAGTAATAGAAAATAAAACTTTTCTTTAAATAAAATATTTATAATAATTCTAAATTTTAGATGGTTGTAAGGTTAGTTGTAAGGCCCACCAATGTGTTTAGTTCATTCCAAATATTTTTTGAATTTTAATATATATATTGTAAATTAAGTACTTAGACAAAATTTTTAAAAAAATATTCTCTTGTTGCAAAAACATGTTTCATTTTGATTACGAGTATCTACATTTTTTATTCATTTATATCTTAAGACGAAATATTTGAATTTTTATTTTCAAAAATGTCGCATTAAAAAATTCTATTTAGTTTCTTTGACGTCAAAATTGAAAATTTATGTCCAATTTGTTTTCTTGAAATGAGACGAAAAGATATAAAACTGAAATTGAAAAAAATATATATATTAATTTTTTTAATAATCAAATTTAAACAGAAGTAGTAAAATACTTTTTTATAGTTATTATTTATGTAGAAAAATTTTTTAATATATATTAAAAGCACAAAATTATAATATAGCTTTTTTAGAATTGAAAGACTCACATTCTTATACTGTATATCTATAACAAAATAAAATTATATTTTTTTTGTAAATTTTAATATAAAAAACAATATACATATTGTTTCAAATAAACAATAAGAAATAAATAATAGCATGATTTTTAGTAATTTTTATAGTTCTTTTTAAGGGTCTTTGAAATGTACAGATTAAAATTTCAATTTTCAATTAAAATTTATTTTAGCGCACTTTTAAAATTTTTTTCTTTTTTTTTTTTATTATACTATATACTCTTTTTGAAATATTTATAATGTAAATATAGCAATAAATTTTTTTTAGAAAATTTTCTTTAATTTGATACTGTTTGTTACATCCTGATCAACATCACTGAGTTTCAATTGTTATAGTACTCTGGATATATTATATATAGAATGCATATAAACAAACATTAATAAAAACTCACATTAGTCAAAAATGCTTTGAATAGAAAATCCAAAAAGGTGGGCAATCAATATAAAAACTGAAATAATCATTTTATTATATATTTAAAAAAATAAATAATATATTTTAGTTACTATTTGGTTATTAGCACAACACTAAGAGACATCACAGACATCTGCAAAATGGGTGGCGCTGTGGCAACATACACAAGTTATACCAATAAATGGATTATTACTCTCGCAGGTTAGTTGAGTTCATTAACTTTTATTTAAACTTCAAATCTAGGCCACATATATAGATATATATATATATAAATTGTTTAATAAATTTTAAATAATATTTTTTTAAAATTGAAAAAGTTCAAGGTGCTGTTTTATAAAACATTAAATAATATATATGACACAATAATATAACTCACAAAAGAAATTTTTTTTCGCTCTACATTGCGAAAAATACACTTCAACTAGGAAGGAAAAAATGCCGTAAATATTCCGACTTGTTGATTTTGAAGCATCTAATTAAGCTGTCCAAATCAAGATCAACGCACATCAAAAGAATATATATAAAAATAGATTAACATATCAGCGTACAAATTTTGTGTATCATTCTCACAAACGATTTTTATCTTTATCTTTATTTTTATTCTAATTTTCTTTATTTTATTTTCATATTTAAATTTTGTTTTAGACCCTACCTTCGTAGTTTCTTTTGGATTAGATAACAAAATAATGTAATAGCTTTATTACAAGAAACTGCTTTATTACACGGTTTTATAATCTAAATAATATCAAAAACCTATTTAAATAAAATCAAAATCTAGTAGATAAAGATACTATCTACTTCAATGGCTTAGTTAGGCGTATTTATGCCAAAAAGGGAGATATACTATATATAAGGGCATATACTTGATAAAATTTTATTTCGAAATGCAAAATTACACTTAATTTCAATAGAGATCCCTTAAACACTTCCTAAATACACAACTTATATACTAAAAATGTTATATATTCGGAAAATATATAATATCTTATATCATAGGCCATATATACTATGCTTCACAGAATCATTTCTGTAGTCAGTCTTCTTTTACTTTAAATGCAAAGTAACACCACCATCTTATATTAAATATCAGTTTAGTGTTGTAAGATATTAGATCATCTAGATCAGGGCTGTTCACACCAATACGATCGCGGGCCAATACAAGTCACTCTACAGATCGGAAGGCCGTAGAAACAAGTAAAAACGTCTATGGTTTTTTGGAGAAAATAAAAATAGGATTATAATGTATAAATTTACTAATGTCAAATTTGCTTTTATTATTCATTCATTTGAATTAATTTTTTTAGGGTACCATAAAAATAAATTAATGTAATTTTACGAAAATATGGTATATCAAGAGAAAATTTGTGTAATTGTGGTAGATTACAAACATGTTTCGGGCCGCACATACATATATTATCCGCGAGCCGCACGGGCCACGTGGATCATGCTTAGAACAGCCTTGAACTAGGTGATAAGATCATTTAGTGACAAAAAATCATCGGTACTTTTTATATCATATAAAATATATATTATAATATATTCAATATAATAGTTAAATATATATAAAACATATATTTAAATAATAAAACTAGATAATTAAATTTTTATTTTTGAAGTCAATTATCACGAAAAAAATATGTTTTCTCTAAAAAAAATTTTTTTTCTACTTATTATTCAAAAATTATTAACTATTATAAACTATTGTTTATTAAAAATATTCGACCATTTTTTTTTTGTGTAAAAGGTACAAACTTATATGAAATAATTATAAAAACAACAACAAATCTTTAGTTAAAGAAGTATAGTTTTCTGGAGAAAAGGTCGTGTGAAGTATTAATCTTATATACAACTCACAAAATTTTACCATTGTTATCATGGATTTATGACACATAGTATTATCTTGTTAAAAATAATTTTATTTTTCCAACATTTCCATTCAATTGCTTTAAATTTTTTCAGATCTTAAGATATCTACGTATAATATCAAATCAAAATATATAATATTTCAGCTTAACATATGAAGCAATTTTGATTTTTGAAAGTTTTATTTCTCACCTCCAATCACTCCTATGTTTTTTCATCCTTCATAGAGAACGATTTATACTAATACGACTCCTATTTTAAAATATCACTTCCTTATTCAAAACCAATCACTTTCGCTGACTTAACTTTTGAAAGCTTCTGTATAAGTCATTATACATTATATTTACTTACCAAATTTATGATCCTATTTATCGAGAGCAAATCTATATTAAATCCGCATATACCATAGCAGTCTTTTTTATTCCAAATATAGCAGAATCATACTGTTCTGTGGGACCGTGAAAAATAATTTCTTTTATCAATCGAACTTGTGCTGTTTATTTGTGTGCTAATAATTTTTTAATTAAATCAGTGTTTTGAAATTAATTAATATTAAACATATTTTCAATTATATGGATTGATGACATACGGAAATTCATCATTCATCAGTATTTTTAGACAACATTTTCGCCTTAATTCGTTAAAAACATACGAAAATATCTGCACAATTTCAAGGAAATTATGTATTAAAATTAAAAATAAAACTAAAATACTTTTGAGATATATTTATAATTATTTTTTGATGTTCTGCTTTTAAATCTCACTTAGGGTGCTGAAAGTATATATATTTCAATAAGAAGAAATTTGATTGTAAAATTATTTTCTGTCTAATTTATTTTTTTTATTCATATGTTAATTATTTTCATTTTGTGGCATGATCGCGACCCAGTTTTAAATAAATATCAATGAATTGCTCATAAAAATATATAAATATTGTATATATTTACATATATATTTAAATTTATATTTATAGACAAATATTCATTGTCTTGTATTGCTCTCGTTAAGTTGGAGATACTAAGAGGATTATTATACCTTCTATCAAAGGTTTTAGAAACGATATATGCACTTTTACTAATAATATTGTTGGTTTTGATATCGATGGTTGGTTGGTTGCAGTGGCAGGCCATTAGATAATTTCCATGTAACTCAATTAGCAATTTTTCGCCGTTTTGCTATCACATTTCTGTCAAGAACCCTAGTATAGAAGATTAGAGACTAAATCCATCCTGCCGAATTTAGATAATTTAATAGATCTTTCATCTTCACCGATGAACAGTCTAATAAACTATCAAAGAAGTATCTTCCTAAGAACCTATTTCTTCTGGGCGTCAAAGCCGGGCATTCACAGAGAAAATGTATTATGATTTTTTTTCAACAACTTTTTAATATCGATAGTATAAATAATTAAAAAAACAAAAATTAGGAGCAAAGAAAATAAGCTGCTTATTTCAATTAATCGCCAAGCTTTGGCTTAAATCAATGAGAGCTATATGAACTTACATTCTTTTCCATTTTTGGTTGTCGTTGATATAATTCAATTGAATTAAGTTTCTGGTTAACCGGTCACTGTAGATTGAGTAATTACCTATTAAAGTTAGAAATCCCATCCAACTGCAGACTGCAGATACTGTAGAAAAGAGACAGAAATTGCATATCAAGTGCTTGGCACTGATACCCGGCACTGATGCACAAGCGGAAAAAACACTTAGGTGGCTATTTCATGGATAACAAGAACTCAAGACTAGGAAAGATAGGCACTATACTGTCTTTCATTAAAGATATTGGACTTGGAGAAAGACTCTAATCCGACTAAGGGGCTCAATAGGTCTTTTAGGTCTTTTTTAGTGCACTACCCTTTTTAAAATAACAATAATTATAGTTTCTGATTAAATATCTCTGGTCCTTTTATTGGATTACAGAATGATAAAAATCTTCTGAAGACACTGTTCAAAATAAATTAAATTGAACTATTTATATAAACATGTACAACTAATATATGTTTTTCTGCTTATATATTATTCGTTATATACGTTAATACTTCACATCATTGAAATGTTTTTATATAAATGTAAAACTTATATTAGTTCTTACAATAATCTGTTTCCTAACTAAATGACATAATTCATTAGTCCTGAATATTTTTCATGGATACCGTGTTCTTCTGAAATTTGTATATCGGTTGATGTGAATATGGACCCCTTCTTTGAAATGAAATAAACAATAAATTGTTTCCTAACTAAATGTAATAATTCATTAATCCATGTAAATTTATTGAAGAATTTTTACGGATAACGTGTTCTGCTGACATTTTGTATATCGGTTCATATGGATATGAAGCCCTTCTTTGACAGGAAATAAACAATAAATTGTTTTCTAACTGAACGACATAATTCATTAGTCCATGTTAATTTATTGAAGAATTTTTACGGATAACGTGTTCTTCTGACATTTTATACCTCGGTTCATATGGATATAGACCCCTTCTTTGAAAGGAATAAACAATAACTTGTTTCTTAATTGGCATAATTCATTATTTCATCTAAATTTACTGACGATTTTTTATGGATACAGTGTTCTTCTATAGGATCCCTTCTTTAAAAGGAATAAACAATAACTTGTTTCTTAATTGGCATAATTCATTAGTTCATCTAAATTTACTGAAGATTTTTTATGGATACAGTGTTCTTCTATAGGATCCCTTCTTTAAAAGGAATAAACAATAACTTGTTTCCTAATTAAATGACATTATTCATTAGCCCATGTAAATTTACTGAAGAGTTTTTACGGGTAACGTGTTCTTCAGACATTTTGTATCTCAGTTAATATGGAAATGGACCCCTTCTTCGAGGGGGAAATAATCGCTTTCTTCCTTATCTCATTTATATTTTCTTCTGCATTTATGGCATTCAGTTGGGAAATATTCCATAAATAATTTTTTACACTTTTTACACTTAATTCGTCGATAAGTTGTTGGTATGTGTCTTATATTATTTTTAACTTTTATTTCCAATTATTATAAACATAATCATAATCATAGCAATATAATCATATACATTGTGACCGAAAAGCTTCCGGAAATTTTAAATAAAACGCAAAATTCTTAATCTTCATCAATATTTATTTTATCTCCTTCAAAATATGCTCCATTAGAAGCGATACACAAATGCCAACGTTGCTTCCAATCATCAAAACATTTTTTATAGGCGCTTTCCGGTATGGCTTTGAGTTCCCTCTGCGAATTCTGTTTTACGTCTTCTATGGATTCAAAACGCGTTCCTCTGAGTGGTAATTTGAGGTTGGGAAACAGGAAAAAGTCACACGGTGCAAGATCAGGTGAATACGGTGGCTGTTCGATGGTATTTATTGAATGTTTGGCCTTAAAATCGTTGATAATGTTGAACAAATTGAGGTGAATCGGAACAAGCCGGGCGTTGACACGTCGCATACACAAATTGTCCACCAAAATCAAACGAGCCATCTCACGACCGATGCCTAGCTCTCGTGCTATCTCTCTAACACTCACATGAGGATTTTTGAACACGATTTCCTTTGCCTTTTCAATGTTTTCGTCGGTGGTAGAGGTCGAAGGTCGTCCAGAACGCGGCATGTCTTCGACGGTCGTACGACAGTCCTGAAAGGCTTTGTACCACTCATAAACTTGAGTTTTCGATAAAACTGATTCCCCATAAGCCTTTTGTAGCATTCGCAACGATTCTGCACACGAAATTTCGTTCGAAAAACAAAATTTGATGCAAACTCTTTGTTCAATATTTTTTTCCATTGTTTTTTTCGCAACGCACTAATGAGGTGAACTGGTTTCAACAGCTGCCGTAAACGAACTGTCTGACAGATCGCGCTCATTTTTGGCATAGTAATTAAGGACAGTGCTGCCAAACTACATAAACTTAAAATATCGAAAAATATACAGCGCGCGAATTTTAAATGAGAACCTCCGAAAACCTTTCGGTCACAATGTATATATATATGTAATATATTTTTTTTATAAAATTAATATATTAAATTTACTACAGTGCTGTTTTTATTCTCATATTCCAAATTTTTTACATAATTCCTGTTTAATACATTTATACCTATTTATGAAGAAAATTATTTTAAATAAATAATATTTAATTTTTTTCAACATTTTTTTCTGTGTTGAATTGATTTATATTAATTTGTTTTTATTTTTATGTTTCACAATTCGCAATTGAAATACAAATTTGATACACAAAAAGTTATATTGGTAAACATAAAATTTTCAACGGCAGACAATTGCTTTCCATGTAAGTCTTACAAAATTTAAATTGCAATAAATTAGACCAAACTATTCATAAAATAATTAACACTTTAATTTCGATTGATTTAAAATTAAAACACTTACTAATGTACAAAATAATTAGATGATTTTATTTTTTGGTTTGTTCTTAAGTTTCACGTTGAAAAATATTAAATACTACTGCGTTTTACCTTTAAAAGCTATATTTTTCATAAAATCATTTAAGATTAAAGAAACAAATAACTAACAAATTCACTTACTAAACTAAATTAGTTGCAATCTATCTACTATCTCATCTGTACAATTGCAAAACTAATAAACACATTTAAAGAGTATCAAAATCACTTGTCCATTGCGTATACGTAACTTTCTGCCTTCACATCCGAAACATCTTTCATATATACTTTGTAAAAATGTTCTTACTTACTTCCTACCTACTTATCACTTGTCACAGCATCACATCTTTCCTGTAATGGCTAAGATATTTAATATTGCAATCGACATTCTCGGATTGAATAAAAATTGTATATTTTAGATACGTTTTGTATATTGTTAAGTATGTAGTGTAAACCATATATAAATATTTATAAGTCGTTGTAAACGTCTCGTGAAAATTAAAAATTGTGCTGTAACAGTCTTTATTTTTATTATAATAAATAGATATTTTATAATACAAAAAAAAAAAACACAAAAAAAATAATATCAACAAAGTTATTGCAAAAGCATGTTATCTTATAGATAGCGCTCAAAGAAAGAGGATTAGATATGACCCTTCTAATATGAAAACCAGTTGGCAGTTAATTACTTTTAAAAAAAAATTCTAACTGGTAGTCCTTCTAGTTATCTGCGAAAATATAAACTTTGTAAAATAGTACCTTTTCAAACTTTTGTAAATAAATCTTTCATATTTTTTTTATATACAAAAAAATGTAAATCGAAAAATAAATCTATATATATTTTATTCCACCACATTCCATTGTCTGTTCTTCTTACTTTTTTCTTTTACAGCGGCATTTGGATTACTATTTTTCGTATGGATTCCTCAAGTCTCAGCCGAATGTCAAAGTATGAATCCATGCTTTATTTTCAATATGCCAAATATTTTTTTATGAAATCATATTTTAAATATTTTCCAAAAATTTTATTATTTGTGTTTAAATTATATGCAAAAAAAAACAACAATTAACCAACACACTATAAAAATATTAAACAATATTTTTACTAAATGTTTTAATCAAATTTTATTTTAAATATTTTTTTTAAGATTTGTTGTTTTTATCTTTAAAAAGAAATCTACTAAAAAATATTAAGAACAGCTTCAGTTTGCAAGTGTATCCTTTAAACAATGTATACACAAAATACAAATAAAAAGGTTGCAATTTTCTAAAAAAATTTCTAAGACATGAAAAGTCTGAGTTCAAGTCCCGACTTAAGTTTGGTCTCAAAAAGACGCTTAAAAAGAACACTTAAAAATGCTTGGTGGCTCCTTTACAGGAATGATGCGGAAAGCACTTTTTAGAAAGCAAGGTTTAGTTGCATTTGATATCACTAGGCACGAAGAATCTGAGTTCAATTCCCGACTTAAGTTTGGTCTCAAAAGACGCATAAAAAGAAGCGTGAAACACTTTTTAGGAAGTAAGGTTTAGCTGTATTTGATATTACTAGGCACGAAGAGTCTGAGTTCAATTCCTGACTTAAGTCTGGTCTAAAAAGACGCTTAAAAAGAACACTTAAAAATCTTTGATGGCTTCGTTTCAGGAATGAAGCGTGAAGTACTTTTTAGAAAGAAACGTTTAGCTGCATTTGATATCACTAGGCACGAAGAATCTGAGTTTAATTCATGACTTAAGTCTGGTCTAAAAAGACGCATAAAAAGAAGCGTGAAATACTTTTTAGAAAGAAAGGTTTAGCTGCATTTGATATCACTAGGCACGAAAAGTCTGAGTTCAAGTCCCGATTTAAGTCTGGTCTAAAAAGACGCATAAAAAGAACACTTAAAAATCCTTAGTGGCTCTGTTTTAACAATGAAGCGTGAAGTACTTTTTAGAAAGAAAGGTTTAGCTGCATTTGATATCACTAGGCACGAAGAATCTGAGTTCAATTCCCGACTTAAGTTTGGTCTCAAAAAGACGCTGAAAAAAAACACTTAAAAATGCTTGGTGGCTCCGTTTCAGGAATGATGCGTGAAGCACTTTTTCGTTTCGTAAAAAAGCTAAAGAAAGGTTTAGCTGCATTTGATATCACTAGGGATTAATAGATTTATGTGTGACTTACGACCTAGCCCATTGAAATTTTTCATTGTATTTAAAAACATTTTAAAATTTCTTATTGAAAAATTCAACACTCTTTTTTTAATTTTACTGCTGAGTAATGCATAGTCTTTCATTATAAAGCTTGACATTAGTTTCAAAAAAAAGAACAAAAAATTAGGAGTTTTTGAGGTGATATTTGAAGTTTCCATGTCCCATAAACAATCAGGTCAGCCAGCTAAGGGTACTCCGTGAATAGCTAAATACTTTTATCGATCCCCTGGCCAACGGTTTCGGCATCATGAGTTTATTCTGTCTACAAGTACTCATCTCTCTTCATCTATTAAGATGAAGTGAAGTTATCCACTTATCGACATAGGCTGCAGTCATGTTGTAGCTCAATAGTATTCTGGGCTCTGGGCCATACAAGTTATGGCTTGATCCTTGCTTTGCAAATTTATCTGCCTCTTCGTTTTGCTTAATACCGATATGGTCTTTAATCCACATGACTATTACTTCATTTTAATGAGTACATAATTGTAGTAAACATATACTCAATACTTAGTAAGTTATATTCAATACTTTTTTGTTAAAGGGAAAAAATTTGAAAGATATTCGTATACCGATTTTTATAAAATTTGTGATAAATTTTGTTTATGAATAAACGATAGTGTTAAGGTGCGTTGACTTTGAGCTTCAAATTTGGCAGGGCACGAGTTCGATTCCTGGTACTTGCAGTCTCAAAAAATTATTTACTAATAATTAAATATAAAAAATAATTCTAAGACCACTGATGATGGGTATTTGGTAATACTCGAATCAGTTGACATGTATAGTCAGCCAAAAATTCAAATAATTAAAATAATATAAGAATGAATTTTTGTTGTTGTAGTTCAGTACTTTTCGAAAAAACCTCTTTACAGTATATATATTTACCATTATCTGTTGTATGACACACTTTATAACTATATATAGTATATATTTCACACCATGCAAGAGTAGTTTTAAGTAAAGAAGTAAAACCTAGAATGTTAAGCTTTGGTTGATCCATTCTAATGCCTTTTCAATCTTCGAGTAAAGTTAAGATCACAAGCTAATGAAAAAATTATTTACTCTATAATGTCCGTAGAAATCTTTAATTGGGCCTTGAAAAAATTAAAATTAAATATTTTGAGTCGGAAAAATATGAGACATCCTTTTTATTAAATTACGTTAAACGAGTTTTAATACTGAAAACTTAGAGAGAACTTATAAATTTTATATAAAAATGTTGGAAGAAGTAATTGCAACCTTTTTAAAAGTTTTATTTTGCTGTGTTATATATTTTTTATTTGTTTTCAATTAAGCGCTTAACACAAAAGCATCATCCAGAACACCTACACAATTCTTGGCAAATATCCTAAATATCCTTAAACATTTTGAATATGGAAAAAGGACAAACTTACCTTTTACACTTCTTTGTGCAGCTGTTTTGAGTTTGATAGAGAAATTGTGCATATTAATATATATAATCGTAATAAGAACTTATTTTCTCTAATTTTACTCTAAATGTGTAAAATTTGTAAACATTTTTGGGACTTAAATAATAAAAATATAAAAAAATATATATTATAATAAATTTATATTTTTTTAACGATTCGGATTTATTTTGTGTGGTACGAAAATGTGGAATGTCGATGTAAAAATGTGTAATAGCAAAATCCATATCACCACTTAGAGAAAACGCTTAAGTAATGACTATAATGTACCTTGAGACATCGAAGGTGGCCAAACAAACAATAGATAATAAATGTTAAAAGCAGTGTTATGCTATTTATATAAAATAGCATATATTGTACATATATAACAAATAATAATATTTCGTGATATGTCTAATAAAACCTTAGTTGCACATTTAGTACTGAAATTGTGTATGAGATTTATCACTGCACGTTTGAGTGATTGAAAGTGCACTTCTTATCAAATGCAAATGACACTGTTTTATAATTAGAATTTTCATTGTAAATTTCATTAAAGCATATTAATTGTATATTATTTATTGTATATATAAGAAGTATTTGTTAGCTTAAATATTTTTTTATTTTATAATTATATTAATTTAACTGAGATACTTTTCTTGCATAAAGTTTTTGATTCATGAATAATTTTCTTATAATATTTTTTCTTATGATTTATTTCATATTTTATATTATTTATTAACAACAATTAATTAAGTATTTTCATTAGTTATTCTATATTAATTACATAAAAAAAAATAGGTGGTAGGCTCTAGCATTTACACTTATATGGTATATCTTGATGCAAAAAAGTTAACACAATCTCACCACATCAGCTACAGGCGAATATATCGAAGTTAGGAATGCAATCCAACTCAGACTGTAAATACTGTAGAGAAGATAGAGAAACTGCATTCCATCTGCTTTGGTAGTGCCCGGCACTAATGTACAAGCAGAAGAAACACCTAGGAGTGTATTTCATGGATCATAAGGACTTAAAACTAGGAGAGATAGGCTCTATACACTCTAAAACTCTAACACTCTAATCCACTCTAATGGATCATAAGGATCTAAAACCAAGAAAGATAGGCTCTATACACTGTAATACTCTAATCACTCTAAGGAACACAATAGTTCTTTTGGGTCGCAGTGCACTACTCCTTTTTTCCATGAAAATAAAAGGTACAGGCGAAGAATTTTCCATTAAAAGCATTCAACATAAAATTTAAAAAAAACATGAAGTAATATATAAAATATTTGAATATTAATATAATAAAGTATTGTTAATAAAAAATGTTGTACAATACCCAAGGAATAATTTTTACATATTAAACCACTTCAATTTAATTTTTTTAATTGGTTTTTATTTTTAAATTGCGTATGTATATATTTGAATAATAAATAATAAGTTTTTTAATAAACTTTTAATAAATAAAAAGCAATAAATAAAAAGTCTAAATTTTAGATACTTTTCTTTATTATAATATGAATTCACTACCGAATCTAAAATTCTAAAAAAATAAAGTGGTTTAAAAAGTAATTTTATTTTTTATAAAAATAAAAAAATTATAAAAATAAAAATAGAATAAGTAGAAAATATACTGAACAGTATATATATTACTCACCACGCAAGATTAGTTTTGGGTAAAGAAGTGAAACCTAGTACGGTTTGATTGACCCATTGTAATGGCTTTCCAATTTTTATATAAAGTTATGATCCCATTTACTGATCACTGCAAACTAGGCAACCGTGCTACAAGTTTGAATCTTTCTTCAATCATACCTGTCGCAACTGTGGGAAAGACGATGAGAGTGCCTCCCATCTGCTCTCTCTTTGCCCAGGTCATTCACGGCGGCGAATCAATACTTTAGGAGGCCCCTTTCTTGAGAATTTTGAATAATTATAAAATCTGCCACTAAACAGC